GTATGTGTATAGTTCGGGCCAAACTAAGGTATTAACCCTATATTATACAACTTACAAAAGTTACAGCCGAGCACAAGGGGATTTTGTGGTTTTGTATTTTTGTTACTTGAGAAACAAAGTAAAAAATGTATGATAGTGGTTTAATGGTTTATGGTTGGGTGGTTTTTGTTTTTTGACATGTTGGCATTTTAATGATTTTTTACTTTTTGTTGTAGGACAACCTTCTCGTCCTCGTAAAGGAGATGGTAAAAAAAAAAAGTGGTTCAGTTCCTCCTCGAATCACTTCCAAAAAAAGTGGGTAATCGTGTTGGAGCTGCAGAAGGGATTCAAGGGAAAGTCTCATCTAGTACACCTACACCTACCACTAGCATTGAATCTACACCTGCTACTGCAACACCTGCAGCTGCTACGCCTACGCCTATACAGATCACTGATATGGGAAGAGGAGCAGATGGAGTGGGTGAGCCAAAGAAAAATGTGAAGGGAGCGGGAAGGAAGAAGAGATCCCCGTGGTGGAATCCTTATGATGAGGTTCTGGTGGATGACTACCCATATGGCAAATGCAAACAGTGTGTAACTTTGATCAATGCTCACTCGATCAATAACGGGACTACTGGTTTGAAGAACCATCACTTGGCATGCGAGAGAAAGAGGAAGGAAGCCAGTGGCCAATCACTATTGAATTATGAGCTTGGGGATGGTGAGGTAGGCTCTCTTACTCCATGGAAGTTTGATCAACATAAATCTAGAACTGCATTAGATGTAATGATCATATTGGATGAGCTGCCATTTCGCTTTGTTGAGCATGAAGGGTTTAAGAGATTCATGGCGGTAACCCAACCATTGTTTGTGATATCTGGAAGACAGACAATAAGACAAGATTTTTATATAATCTTTTTGGAGAAAAAAGAGTTGCTATCTGAGTTCTTCAAATCCAAGTGCAAAGGAAGAATTTCTATCACCACAAATACATGGACTTCTGGTAACAGCCAAAATTTCATGTGTGCAACTGCTCATTTTATTGGGAGTGACTGGAAGCTGCAGAAGATGATCATTAGCTTTGTTCCCATCACTAGTCACACAGGGAAGGATATTGCAGAAAATTGGCAGAATGTCTACAAGATTGGAAAGCACAACATTTGTTCTCCATTACCATGGATAATGCTTCTTCTAATGATGTTCTTTAGAGTGTATGAGAACAACGATGAAAGAGTGGGGGACACATTTGCTTGGTGAAGTATTTGCAATTTCGATGTGTGGCACATATAATCAATTTTGCTGTGTCAGATGGGTTGAAGGAGGTTGGAGTTGTTGTAGAAAGGGTTCGAGATTGTGTGAAATGGGTGAAGTCATCACCAGGTAGAAGTGCAAAGTTCAAATCTACCATTGACTATCTACAAATGGATGGAAGAAGACTTGTATCTTTGGATGTTCCAACTAGGTGGAACTAAACTTATTTGATTTTGGAATCTGCAGAAAGGTTTGAGCTTGTTTTTAACTTCTTGCATTTGAGCCCCAATGATTCTGCATTTTGGGATTATGTGGACTCAAAGAGAGGTCCTCCAACTAAGGAAGATTGGAGCAGTATTCGGCGCCTAATGAAGTATTTGAAGTTCTTTTATGAGCTCACCTTTCGGGTATCAGGTATGTGAACAGAACTCCACCTATTCAAATTCATGGTTTTTACTTTTATTAGTTTGTAATATGAGAATAATTTGTTGTTATTTTTTGATGTATTAGGAACATCTTATGTGACTGCTCATAATTTCTTCAAGGCTATTGCTGACATCTATGAAGTGATAGAACTTTTTAAGAAAGACATAGATGTAGAGATACAACGGATGACAGAAAGAATAGAGGCAAAGGTACGAAAGTATTGGTTTGAGAATGATGATGATGAGGCGGAGAACCTAAGGATAAATAGGTTGGTTTACATGGCTTGTGTGGTAGATCCTAAGCATAAAATGGTGTCTTGGATGTGGGGTAAGATGTATGGGAAGAAGGAAGGAGACGATTTGGTGAAAGATGTGACTGCAGAGATTGAGGTTTACAGATTGAAGTATGCACCTCAACCCTCCAAGCCTACTGTTCAGACCACTCCTAGTGTTGATGATGATACTAGATCTGCATCTTATGGAGGGACATTTGATGCTGAATTCAAGAAGATGAGAAATGAGCAACTTCAGATGGGGATTCGAGGTTTTTTTGAGCTAGACATCTACTTAAGAGATGCTAATGATGCTATTAAAGAGGATGATAATGATACGAAGTTTGACATCTTGTTGTGATGGAGTAAGAACGACGTTAGATATCTTATTCTTTCCTAGATGGTTAAGGATATCCTAGCTCTTCCAGTCTCCTCTGTTACCTCAGAGGCCGCTTTCAGTTGTGGAGGTCGAGTGCTCTGCTCGTTTAGGTCTACGTTGAGCCCCATCATTGTAGAGGCCTTGATTTGTGTTGAAGATTGGAAAAGGTATGAAGGAGGGAAGAAAGCAGAAAAAGTTGATGATAAAGAAGATGAAAATCAAGACCAAATTGATTATGAAAGTGGTAAGAATTCATAATTTAATTTATTTGAAGTATTCCTTTACGCATTTTCCAATAACATATTATTAGATGAATTCTAACAATTTGTATTTTTTATTACACTTAGTCACTAGTAACTTCCAAGCTCGAATGGAAAGTGCTACTGTCATGCCAAGTGAAGGTGACAAACAAGGTTTACTTGTTGTATTGGAGGAGGAGGAGAAAGATGAAGAGGAGGAAGTTTGAGACGAGGATGAGGAGATAGAAAGAGAAGAGATTTTCACGTTGTTTTAGGTGGTGGTGGTCTTCTCGGCATCTCCTTATTTTTTTCATTCCCGTAAATTTGTTCCAGTTGATGCAATGCCCTTTCCTCTTTCTCTCTCTCACTCACTTTTCCCCCTATCTTTCTCTCTCACTTTTCTATCTGCGATGGTTTCTCACATCTCAGTTTGGGAGATGACGATCTCGAAGCGATCAGGTTGTGGATTTGAGAGGACGAGAAAGAGGATTTAAAGAATGGCCAGGTGCACAGGTTATAATCTTGGTTTTGTTATCTTTCTGTCGTTCATGATTTTGTTCTTTTTTTCATGGGTTTATTTTGATTACTTTTCAGATGAGATTTTGCAAGATGAGGTAAACTGCTGTTCTTAAAGATGGTGTGGGCAACACCAGGGGTTTGGAGTTCCAAAAAGAGTCGCTGGAATTTAGGCGAGGTTAATCCTCTTCTATATTCTTTGCAGTTCTATTGTTGGCAAAGCCTTCCCTTACATAGCAGATTCTGTTTTTGCCTTTTGCAGATAATCATATGATAGATTATCCATTTTTCATGGGAACTATGTTCTCTCTCTGCCTTCTCCAATCGCCAATCTCCAGCTAATGGAAATTCTCTTTTCTCAATCTCCTCGCAGATCAGTTTCTTATTTTTATTTTTCGACTTTTCTGATTCGAACTTTTCCCATGCAATGCATATATGCTATGAATCTCTCAACATCAAGTTCTCGGACCTTCCAAAGTTGTAAAGAGAGGATTCAGTTGAAGACCCTAATCTACAGGTTCCGTTCTGGTTTCAAGTGGTTGTTTATTGTCTCCCTGCATCTTTCTTTCTCACTCTAGATTGAAAGTGAAGGTTCAGAGATTTGTCCTATTTTTTTTTCTATCAGCCACACAGAAAAGAGTAGAGCTCTAGGTTGCTCAATGGAATTGAAAGGTACATGGAGTGTTCACAGAAGAGGCAGATCCCTTGACCTGTGCTTATTTGAGGTAATCGTTGCTCTTGTCGAGTTTGTTTTCTCAGTTATCTTGGCGATTTTCTCTTCCTTTCATTAATCTTATGGATTCATTTTCTTCTTTTCTTGGGAGCAGTTGAGGATTTCCCCTTGTCGTTGAGGGTGCAAATTAATCAAGGAGCCAATTCATTGCCTATGAACTCAACCTTTCGTCCTTATGTTTCCTTAGCTTCCTCATTTTGTCAATCTCTTTCCCATCAGAGTCGTTTGCTGTTTTCAATGGTTCTTTGGTTGGTTGTGGGTTCGAATTAGTCGTCCATGTAACGGGAATTATATTTGAGCAAGGTGATTAGGAGGCATATGTGAATCTCAGCTTTAATGGGTTCGCCTAGCTTTCTTGAATCTCTGCTTTTGATTGATTTGGATGGTCCTGGATTCGAATTTGCTCTTTTCCAGCTGGTATTATGGACACAAGAAGATTTGGTTAGCTCACAATCTCTTGGTGTGCGTCATTGATCCGTTCTCTTTTACTTCTACTATAAATGTCAGATTCCTCGGTGATTTGGAGTTAACAACAACTTCTTTTTACATCGTTTGTTTCAGGTGTTTTATGCGGATCTTATATAGAACAGATGTTATTTTTCACTAACTCTGCTCTCTTTGAGTTACAAATGAAATGATATTGCAATCTTACAAGTCTGGTGTTGGCGAGCTTCTGATTGGGACTTAAGTATTTTCCCTGCCATTCTCATTTTTCGGATTCTGTAGTTTGCTCTTTGCTCATTAGCATTTGATGGTTATTGCCGTTGTGCAATTATCTAAGAGTGTGTTAAGGATTTTGTTTTGTAATCTGTCATTAGTGAAAATGCAAAGTCGAACACCAAGTTTTAATGTTTCCGTGCGGTTGTACCCAATCCCAATTAATTGGGTGTTCCATGCTGTAAGCTTTACACCTTTTGTATCTTTTGGTCATTGCTAAATACCAACGGATTAATACAGCTGAGTTGATGAGATTACAATGCTTTTATGGAGGCCGCTGGCGGTACCTTTTTAAAAGGTAGCACCCATGCAGAATTTAGTTCATGCTATTGCCATTATTCTTTTTTACTTGATACTGTTCTGTCAATACATCTCCAGTATTCTAAGTAAATTCCAAGGAGAAGCCTCTGCCAATGGAAGTGTTTATGGACTTGAGCTATGAGGAGAATCTCCTAGCACGATTTTGAAGAACTTACAAAAATTAACTATGTTGTGTCACACGAAACTCCAGCCAGCTATTTAATCATTATATAGTTCACATATGAAAACAAGTCCCGCCGCGGAGTGTAGGCTATGAGATCTAGTAATATATAATGACCACAATATTGTAGAAAGAAACATATCAAACATGTTAAAAGAGATTACTATATCAGATAAATGATGATACATATCTCCAATATATATATATGTAGGCATCAATCATGCATATGCAGATCAAACTCGTGATAAGACGATTCAAATGATCATTGGAGTGACGAGCAAAGCAGTGATGATGTCCTTGGTGTCTTTGTTGGCGTGCGTGTAGCCATCAGAATCCTTGTACAACACATCCATCACACGTGCGAGACCCAGAAACACCGACATAACTTGTTTCGCCGGTCTAAACTCTAACCCAATAATGTCCTTGGACGACTGTTTCACAAGCAGTTCCTGGTTGATCATCTTCCAATCCTCCTCAATCATCTTGTTAATGGCCTCGCGTGCCTCCACCTTCCCCACCCCATATTGCTTCATGTAACACTCCACCGACGACGCGACATGCCCCCTCTCTTGCTCAAACTGCAAACAAGAAACAATACTTAATTAATTAATTAATTAGCAGCCATTTATGGGACCCCTGTCAATCTTCCTTACGAAAAGTGAAAACCAACCAGATATATAATAGGTTACCTCATGCGACACCACATCGTCCATGAGACGGCACATATCCGAGGAAGCGACGAGAATGGCAGGATCGTCAAGCAGCCAATCGAAGGAAGCCATAGTCGTCTCATCCATCCCGCACAACGCTGCAACTGCAAGCAGAGGGTAGCAGCAGGAGTAGATCCCCACGCGCCTGTATTCGTCCACGCTCGGCACCACCTTCTCCGCCAGCCACCTGGCTTCACTCAGATAAGCCTTGGCTTGATTCCTCACCGCTAGTCTTGCATACTCCGCGCAGTATCCCCTTCCCTCTCTCGAAGCGATCTCGTCAATCCCATCCACCACGCTGGCCATGGCTTCCATCCAATGGACCATGTACTCCGGCAGATGATCATATTGATCATCGACGTTGGCCTTCCCCCAGCTGGAGATGGCGGCGGTGAAGAGCTCGAGCTCGTCGATGGTGGCCTTGACGTCGTAGATGTCGTCGAGGGTGGAGACGAGGACGGTGACCTTGGTGAGGAAGTGGCGAGAGAGGGAGTGTTTGGGTTCCCACATGGTTGCTAATGACCACAAGTAGACCTCCACTAGCCTGTCTCTAGCGAAAGGCAACTTGCTCGCAAGGTCCAACTCCACCCACCACCTGATGGTATGGTTGTAGGCAACAAACGTTAAGGGCTAGATGCCAAGGTGATGAATAGCTAGCTAGATACGCGAAAATATATATGATATGAGTTAATGACATTCGTACGAAGTTGTCGGCCAGGCCACCAGTTGAGTTGAGTGAGTGTGTTACGTTTGGCCAACCAAGGGGAATGGGAAACGAGAGGTGGAGGTTATTTTTGTTATCT